TCTTCTTCTTCTTCTTCTTCTTCTTCTTCTTCTGCTTTTCAGATGTATCTCTCCTTACTGATTGAGTGATCAGAGGACGGCTGGAGGATTTCAGTTCAGAATTTTAGAAATAGAAAAACATACATATTAAATATTTTTCACCAAGTCGTGTTCACGCTGGGGCTCAAGTTAAAAATGCAGGATGACGTTGAGGGTTCGTTCTTGATGAGAGGACCGGTATGCCACAATCCCATACAATGAGAGTGCCATACAGTACCAAAAGATTCTTTTCACAATAACCCGGTTTCCGTTTACTAACATTAGTGGGAATATTAATAAAACCATTTCCTCTCCCTCTCCCTCTTCGTTTTCCTCCTCCCCTCTGGGGCATCATCGAAATCATAATCACCGTCATCATCATCATCACCACCACCACCACTACCACCGTCATCATTATCATCACCTTTGTATAGTGGTAAAATATGCACGCTATAACAATCGTCCGTCATAGTACTGGAAGTTGCTTTCGCTTGTCAGCCGGAAATACGCTGTGTGGGTTAAGAAACGGAATTCCGATGTCAAAGGAAGAAATAATGGGACTGCATGAAAATGAAAGACGACCGGGTAACGTAGATGACATGAAGGGCTGTATTTTATTACCGCTTATAAATTTGATCGACTGTCGCAAGTAGAGAACGCTGTTCTGATTTGCAGGCTAAAAGACTCAAAGCTGACCCATAGCAGTATCTGCACTAATTTTTATTAGTTTTATGTCACCTGGTCTTTCACGACGAACTCGATTCTTGTCGATCAAAGGGGCTTGCATGTATGGGTGCAAAGATATATAAACCTAAACGGGTTGGATGAAAAAACAAACATGGTTGGTTATGCGTTCAATAGCATAACGCAAGAGTGATGTATACCAAGAGGGAATAAAAAATCATCCAGGATTTATTTTTCCAGGCCCATATATGGAAGGACTTTCAAATTAAGGCATGCAGGCAAACCGGTCTCTGATAAATTTTGCGATATGCAGAGGTAGAACTCGATGAAAAAATTTCTGTATAAGCTTATCCCACAGTGGTTTGCTGGGTTACAAGAGATTTGCAGCAGATATTTGTTCCACAGCTGCTGTAGACCAGATCTCAACTATCTTCTGCACTAAAGAGGACAAACTTTCAAACCAAGAATAGCTGATACACGACTCTTAAATGCCGGATAAATGTGGCTAACGGTCGAGATGTATCGGCGAAGCGCAAGTAAAAGCAAGCTGCAGGGAAGAAGACTGCAGAAGGGACGACATTCACCAAATGTCCCACGAAGGAGGTGCAGCATCCGTGATTGCAATTTGAATTAGTCTAAAGTTGTACATACTTGCACTGAATCTACCTTGCGTCGATGACAAGTCTGTTAAGGCAAGCAGAGATAAATGTGCTCGGCGCGTGCCACACATAAGAATGGTTTACTGATACATGCACCAGGTTTCGATACAGACATATCGGAACTCACATGGGTAAGGTTGCTATCGCGACCACATTAAGAAGGAGTAATTGGAACGTGACTCTCTAAAATACTCCTATGAGCACAGCATAATCTCGTCCGTTGGCAGCCTTCAAAAACATGACACAAGCAAACAGGATAGTTTTATTATAATTAGTAATGAGGAAGAATTCCGGGTGAGGACTCACTATCTTTCAATTCACCCAGGCCCTAATGGATGATCTAAGTCTGCCAGTCAATTAGAGGTATGACAAAAATCGAAGACTTGACTAAATAAGACTGCATAATTACAAAGATTATGGGAAATAGCGTACGGCAGGGAACCAACCTGGCTCAAGTGATTCACAACTGCGCTTAGCTGTTCTTGGCTGATTCCAGTCTCAACAGGAGGCATTGGGTTCATCATTTGGGGGAAGGGGGCTTGCTGTGGAGCTAAGAAATTACTGGAGAAGTTGCCGCCATCCGGGGTCCTGACGTCCCACCCGACTCCAGGCACACCGCCCCATACATTTATCTGTGTTCCAGAGTGGTTAGTTGCCGCAAAACCCTGGTCGGCGCTTTCTAGCAAAAGGAGACAATGAAGAGCCGGGCTCAGGTATCTTTACACAGATGACTCTTTGTGCAACTGTGAAAGAGGGACTCACTTCGCAAGATGCCGTCCACGGATTCATCTGTATCGAGGAATGCATCGCCACCGACGGGCACGAGTGCGGTGTGGTGGGGCGATGTGAGGGATAGCGCCATGTCGTCGTCTTCATCGTCATTGTTAACTGAGATTTCACTGTCGTCAAACGGCTCAATTTCGACGACTTGAAACGTTTTTGTCATCACGGGGCTTTCGGCTTTCGTGTGTCTGCATAAAAGAAAGGCTAAAAGAAGCAGTTCGTACATCGTATTTAGTCAATCAAATTATAGAAAATTCTGGTAGTTGCCTACTTGTGCACAGCCATTGCCTTGATGGTACGTTTGCCCACTCTCAATTGGAACGGAGCCCTGTATCGATAGGTGATTTCACGGCCAGCTACAATGCGTCGATAGGGGTGTGGTGTGTCGCCATTGGTTGTAAAAAAGATCACGCAGTTTCGCGATTCTATATAAATAGATAATAATTATCACTTGAGTGTGGGAAAATACTGAAAGAATCTGAGATATTGCTATTTGTTATTTTTATTATAAAAGCCCATTCATTCAGACGAATTGACTACGAATGTGATAAGAAAAGCTGACAAATAGATAAAATGAAAATGAAGTCATAAAAATCGAACATGTTTCAACACATGTATTGTTTACCGATAAACACAGAGCACACCGCAGATCGGTGTACAGTTACCCACTACATGTAATTAAATACAAAAAGTTGAAAAGCGCTAAGCAGAACAAAAAACTTTTTCCAAATAACAGTTTTGAAAAATCAGCCAATTTAATAATAAGAAATCCCAGCAAGTTCTACAGCATCCTTTTTCATGACAACATCTTCAGGACAGTCACTGCGACAGATGTTGGGAAAAGTTATTTTATCTAGTCTTCTTTGGTTTCGTTACTCGTCGAGATATTTTTAAAGGAGCTCTTGGCATGATCCTGTCAAATTGAACCAGTTCTATAAACGATAAGTAGAGGCATTAATCCTACGTTCGATGACCTGCCAAAAGCATTGGGCAAATATGGCCGCAAAATATTTGAGACATGTCTTTGTTGATTCGGACTTGTGCAAGATTTCAGTCTCTCTCTTACAGCATGCTCGTTAACTTCTAATGACCGGTATATTATAAATTACGTAGAGAGGCTATTTAACTATGACAGCTTATTTACTTACATCCTTCCCAGTCATGAATATGTTGCTTTCTCAAAAAGTGGGATGTGTTATAAGTAAATTAACGCAAATGTTGCCATTGTTCCGCCATAACAGTTGAGTAATTATTGACTTACGATTTTCGAACTATCCTATTCAAAAATAACCAATAGTCCCGACATAAGTTTTAAAATGGCATCGAGATGGCGAACACGTGTCTGCGGAGAACAACGTTACCCCATATGTTTGTTTGAACTGAGGGTTTATTTTATGACTGTTGCGTTAATCCGACATATCTAATGATTCCATAGTATATCGGGAGATATACCGTCGGAATAGCAAAGGAAGGCAAATGTCGTGAATAAGATTTGAAGGAACTCAATGAAAATGTCATGATGAGCTGGACAATTAAAAACTTCAAGGCACTTTTAACGAATATAACAATAAGAATATAAAATGAACTGGAACGCAAGCTTACTTCGTCTATGGTTGAAAGACAATGGCATAGTTTGACAAAATCCTATGATTAGTAACGTCGGTGCCAACACGTTTAACTGATATTCCGGATGAATATAAAAGTCAATATAAGTATCTACGCCCCATTATAGATAAATAATGTAACTCGTTATAAGCAAACCAACATGCTGGTTGGTTTTTAAATATTTATTTTGAATATGCATCGTCATCCTTGCCAGCACCGGGCGACGGGTGAATCCGGCGGAACGTGGGATGGGGAATTTTTATTGACGAACTATATTTACAGCACACATCTTTCGAAATCTACTTTATATAAAAAATACTAAGAACCTTGTCTTTTGACAAAACAATCAAGTTGGA